ACAAATTGAATAGATGCTAGCCTAGATCATGTCGTGGCTGCAGTCCAAGACATGTTCACTAGTTGCTGTTGCTGCCGCCGCCTGCTGCTGCCCTGCGTACCAGCTGGCAGCTCACTGCTGGACTGTTTGCGCGCCAGGCATCCTACTGGACTAGTGGGGTGGGTCGCAGATCTTTGAGAGTGAAACGTTTGGTCTATGTAAATGTAGCTGAAACTCTTACAAATAATCTAATAAAAAGGCAAAACTTCAGAGGACTCCATTGGTGTCTCAGTGGTGACAATCAGAACTTGATCAGAACTGTTATCATGCTGAATGCTGAAACTGAGAATAGGGCTGAGCTGGTGGGCTAGAATTTAATATGCAGGCTTACAAGGACCCCAGTTAATCCACAAATTTGTCAGACTTGCCTGTAGGCAAATTTATGCAGATGAAATGTTTCTGGCAGATAGCCCGGAGGCAAAATGCTATTCAAGCTTGTTCCGCAGCTCGTTGCGTTCCACATGAGCCACTAAATCAGAGTCACACAACTCTGCCAAATGTGCTGAAAGGCCACGATTTTTCCAATAGGTAGGTATATTTATTATTTTTCACAGACACAACAAAAATACAAATGCAGTTCACTACAATTCATTCTGCTTCAATTACAATTGCTGGAATGTGTTTTGCAGACTTATTATATTGAATCTTGAACAGACTATATTATATTACTTTGCTCATGGGCCCAGGCCAGTACTGCAGAGTATGGCTCGCAGGTTGCCAAGGAGCACTGGCCCAACTCCCAAGCTCAAAATTGACACAAACCCTTCAAACAGAGCCCGAACATTCACACCAGAGGGGGCTGAGGCCTGAGAGAACACAAAAAATGCACCAAACCCCAAAATGGCCAGTCAAAATCTGCACTGACCTCAAATCCCCACAATGCTACACATCTGCACCACAGCAAGCCAAATTCGCACCCCGCTACACTACATCCGCACCACACTAAACCAAATCCGCACCGCACCACACTTAAATCCGCACCAGACGAAGGAGTCCGCACTGACAAAATCTAGACAAAATTGCCCTACTTTGCAGTCTGGCTCATGGCTATATCCATTGTGATTCTTAGGTCTGATTATTGAAGTTGAGCTCACTTCCATCATCCATGTGCCCAAGACATTGTGGGCAGCATCAATAATCAAACATCAATACCTATCTTGCTTTTGCTTATTAGGGAGCATTTTATAACTTCTTAAAAATGATAAATAAGGCCTTGCTGATATTCTTTGCAGTTTGCAACCTTCTCCTGGACAAAGTTCAAGCTTCAATTTTCCAATTTTCATTTCTTCAATCCTTTCCATGAACATTGAACATGTTTACCAATTTCCTGAGTTCATGCGCAATGTTTGTACTATTCGCGGCAGAAGCGTAACAAAACTTTGTGCCACCGATTTGGCAGCTAGGAAAAAAACTTTGCCCGATAAAAAAAAAACAATCATATGACGTAATCGATCCAAAAGCTTTAAATTTGAATTTTTAAACAATTAGCCAACTATGGGCCGAATGTTTGCCAATTTCGTGTAAAGGGGCCCATAATCTATGTCTTGCAACACAAGAACAGTATATCAAAGCAATTTTTTGAAGGTGGGACAGTCCCTTTAACGATGCTTCAGGCTCTTCCTTTTTTGTGTGTACTGCGGACAACACAAGAAATAATGGGGCACTGATTCTGTAAGGGAATTGCGCTTACAATATGGTGAATCTACCAAAGGTGAATTGATTTGACACAAATGAGAGTTTAAGCTGGGCATACCGAGCCTGAGGCGAGTGTGCAAAATGTTATCCCCCGTAGTTCCCAAGCTATAATAAAACAAAGGTTTCGCTACCCCATACATCTTCTCTAAGGTTTGTTTAAATTCAATAGAATTTCTGATTGATTTAGTTTGTTCTGACAGTCGATTCCATCCTTTAATGATCGAAGGAAAAAAAATGAGTTTTTGAAGGAAGATAAGCGATTGAATGGTACATGAATGCTTCGAGAGTTCCTGAGGTCACGCTGAGTGTGTTCATAGCTTGTGCCGGGGATAACGTCTAATCGATACCGAGGCGCGTGGTGTTTGATTTTGTGAAATAATTTAAGTGTGCTTATTTCTCTTCTTGTATGCAATATTGTAAGTCCTAATTCTACTAGCAGTGAATTTGTTGGTGTCCTTCGAAAAGCTCCGGTTATAAGCCTTGCTGCTCTGTTTTGAACCCTTTCTATGTTTAAAGAGTCTCTAAAGGTAAGGGAGTCATGAAAGACTGCATCTCCATAATCAACTAGGGATCGTACGTATGTCAAGTAGATTTGTTTCAGAACAAGTCGAGGGATGAATTTCGCCACGGAGCACAGTGGAGCTCGTGCAGCATATGCTCTTCTTACTGTCATCTATTCTTCCGGTAAGCATCGGGAGTACCTCTCAATGTCGTAGTACCATCAATTTCCAAATGTGTAGAAAATTTAGTGTTCGGCGAGATCTAACGTCCGTGACCAAATCCAAGTTCGTGACTATTTACCTTTAAGGTTTAAACATACATTTTGCATACATTTGGAAATTTTTGGGCCTCATTTTCACGTTTTCACGACGTGATGCGGTTCCCCATCATTTAAACCGATTCTAAACTTGAAGGTAAATAGTCACGAACTTGGATTCAGTCACGGACGTTAGATCTCGATGGCTCTACATTTTCTACACATTTGGAAATTGATGGGGTTTTATCTTCACGACGTTATGCGCTTTCCCGTCATTTAAATCGTACTTTAACCCGCGCCTTGGTGGGGGGGGGGCTATTTTTTGCCCCCTCCAGACTTTTCGATATATCTCCAGAACCGCTGCGCCGATCGTCACTAAACTTTCAGTACCCTCCCGGACATCAATTTTACACATTGTGACCCAACAAATTTCCAAAGGCTACGCGATATGTTGGCCGGAAATGACGTCAGAGTAACGTCATGTTCTGCCGTTTTCGACCAAAAAAAGGGTTTCGCGGCAAACGCTATCAGGCATAAAGCTTTGCAAATACAGAAAAACGATTAAGATGGGAAAAGCTGTAGAATTGACAGCGCTACAAAACTGCTCTCTCGAATTTTGGAAAATTTTTGGATTTTGACCCCCAAAAATAAAAAAAAATATTTTTTTGAATATTATAGCAGAAAAATCCAAAAAGTTTTTTGAATTTCGAAAAAAAACGGAATGTATGTGATAGTCCTTACCACCTTCTATCCACATACCAAATTTGAGATCGATACCTCTTTTTTTGGCCAAGTTATCCCTATTAGTGGCAGGCTCCTGGCTACCCCATATTAGTGGCAGGGGGGGCTGTTTACGACCCCCCTTGATATCTCGAGATCTAACGGGCCGATTTTCAAAATTCAAACGGCATTCGATTTCGCTCAACGAGATCTACATTTCTAAAAAAAATAAAATTAAAAAATGTCAATAGGGGGTAGAGGGGGGTAAAAACGGGCAAATTGCAGATACATTTTAGACTGTTTATCACGGCCAGTTTTCTGAACCAATCTTAACGCAACTTTTGCCGATCGATAGAGAATGAACCAGGAATTCACATGGATCCTAAAAATATGCATTTTCAAAAATCATAGGCGGATACAGATCATTGAGATTGGGGGTACACAAAAAGTATAGTAAATAAGGTTTTTGTTGGTACTGTTTCTAAAAAGGGTGGCAATGGTCTTGTTATGTTACAATTTTCTCATGAGAGAACGACTAAAATTGTATTGGTCATGCATAGGCGGTGTCAGGGCACCTATGTTGGGAGGTAAAAAATAACCCCCCTTTTTGGACGCCTGGGCCCGCCTATTATAGCAAAAACGTGTCAAAAGAGGATGCACAATAACTTTGTATATGTTATCACATGATACCTTTCATTCACTGTTCGTAAAACTGGTGCAGCATCGTGATCTTCGCCCAAATGACTCGCTTCACGAATAGGACCCCCCAATTCCCAGTGCTCTGGAGCCGCCCCTGGTAAAGTTATGAACTTGAAATTTTCAGGGAATGTGCCCAATTTAGTTTTAGGAAAAGTCAGAAAATTTCAGCATCGTAGCTTCAGCGGTTTCAGAGATATTCCCGAAAAACCTGAGGGGTGGATAAAAACAACCCCCCCTGCCACTAATAGGGTTATAGCGAAAAAAAAAACTGTTCAAAATTAATGACGTCAAATTTTCTAACTCAATTTTTTGCAATTCTAGATCCCGTAACGCAAAACAAAGACCACCATTAGACTCCCGGTAACGAGGTGCATCGAATCAATAGCCAAAACCATTAACTTTAAAATTTGACCTTTGTTGACCTGACCTTGATCTGACCTTCCCCAGACAGTGACCTTAGCAGTACCTGATGGTCTTATAACCAACACCATTGAGTTGGAAATGAAAAATTGGTCATAAAACATGCATCGCACAACCTTAGTAAAGTTGGGTTCATGTGCCCCTTGTTCATGTTCATCAACCCTTGGTGACCTGACCTGGTATTGCCAGTGACCTCTAATAGCAACATAGTTATGTACTGGGCAACTGACGCCCTATCGCTGATTCTCGACAAAACGCGTTTTCCTCGATGCTATAGCGCATTCCCTAGAAGACCCGTGAACGGCGAAACATTTCATCTTTGGCCTGACCTGTGACGTCATCAGTGACCCCGAGGTCAATGAAATTTGGTTTCCTTTATCAAATTTGACGGGCCTTTCAAACGCCGTTTGAATTTTGCGAATCCGTCCAGTAGTTTCGGAGATATGAGGGGGGGGGGGCAAAAATACCCCCCCCCCCCACCAGGTCGCGTTATAAACAGACCCCACCAGGGCGCGGGTTAAACATGAAGAACTCGTCAAAGGTTAAAATAAGTGTCATATTCGTGTTCAGCATGGTCGATTCAACCTTAAGTTCTGAGTAAATTTGAATTCGTCGCTGAATACGTATGCGTAATGCGTATACGTCGCTAAGGTCACGGACATTGGCTCACCTCGGATGGCGGCCTGGAGCAGGGTGCGCAGCCGTTCGGGCGGCAGCTGGTGGCCGCGGACAGCCAGCAGGTAGCGCAGCGCCAGGTGGCCGCCGTGGCGCACCTCCCACTCGGGTCGGCGCAGCAGCAGCAGCAGCACGGCCGCCAGCTCCAGCACGGAGCCCACCGGCAGCAGGTGCAGCGCGGCGGCCAGCGCTTGTGCAGCCGTCTCGCGCACCGGTGCCACCACCTGATCGGCCACGTAGTCGCCGAATCGGTCCAGTGCCAGTAGGCGCACCAGGCGCAAAGCCAGGTCCTCCAGGCGCAGCCGGTGTCGCTCAGTCATCTGGCAGCCACAGGGTAGACCGCTCAGCATCCATACCAGCCTGGTGTTCGATTCACTCGTGATTGAATCGATTGAACTGAATCAAACAAAATGTGTTGAATCGAAAAGGTTTGATTCACCGTCAGGTAGAGGTCTGCACCGGTCGGCTGCAGCCGCGGCTGGCTGCAGCCCCACGGCTGTGGGCCGGGGCGGCTGCAAATATCTCCAAGAACACGGCTACGGCTGTGGCCACGGCTGTGTGATTTCAAGCTCAATCTCAAGTACTCAAATTCAAATATGAAATTTTAAATCCTTAATCTTACATTCTGATAACCAGTCTAGCATGTAAAAATCATGCAAAGAATGCCCAGCAACATTGAAAGTGGTGAAGCCTTTGAAAACCTGTAATGGTTTTATCATTTGCCATCATAAGAAGGGGAGTTTGCACTCTGGTACAGAATACTAATTATAGGTACCAATTGTTCCTTCATCATCATGAGCTTGACAGCTTCTTAAAAGGCTGAAGCTCTGCTTGAGGCTCATGATGAATAATAATAATATAAGAATAACCAATAATATAACTATAATAATATAACTTTTTGGCTCCTATTTCTGATTTATATTATGAGGTTACTGGTTGAGCTTGACAGCTTCAGAAAATGCACCATGTTGCATTGTCATTTGTCACATCCCTTTCAAATCAAAGAGCACCCTACATTGAAGACAAGCGTTCAATAATTCTTTCAGGTAATAAAAAAGAAATAACGCCTAGGTAAAGGCAGGTAAAGGCTTCATAAAATATTATCTAAAATAACTCTTAAGGTCGCCGTCCACTGCACATTGGCATCCGCCGAAAGTACGCGTGTAATCGTCGATAAGCGCGTATTCTCGGCGTTCGCTGAAATGACGCCGTCCACTGCACAAAAACATCGGCAGAGATGCTCAAAGCACGGCTCAAAGGACCCACCGGCCGAGGCCGTATACAATAGAATGAAAAATATAATTACTGGCTCGCCTGCCCGTCAGTTACTTCGTACTAACCACGGTGACTATAAATAGTTCTAACGAATAGTGTTTTAACCAAGGCTATTGAACCGATTTTTAACCACTTTGACTATTGACAACAAATCTTCGGTTATAGAAGAATGGTTAGCCGTTTGTTTACATCGGTGACCTTGAAAGATGACGTCAGCGGGTGCCTACTAGAGGTGTCAATCGGAACCGAAAATTTTGGAATTCCGAAAATTTCCGAATTCCGATTCGGAAATCGGACGGAAAAGTGACAAACACATCGGACATATTCGGAAAACTGGTTGAAAATTACAAATTTATTAAATAAGCTCAAGTTCAAACTTATTTCCATTATCAATATGCAAATTGCAAAACATGTCATCAAAATTGGCAGGGGACTAGGGTTACCCGCGTGCTCCGCAACGCGAAGAAGGGTTATTTTTGACCCGTGGGTATTGGGTTGGTCTGTGTCGATTTGGTTGGTATCCATTTCGTTCGATTGCTTTTTGACGGCAAAACATTTTGTAGTGAAACAAAAAAGATCCATCGCATCGAGGTGCCCGTGTCGTATTATCATGCGTTCTTCTATAGAATGATTGGAAAACTGACGTGAAGTCTTTTGAGGGCCATCGATGAATTTCGCTAAAATGACAATGTAATGGTTCGGAACATTTACATTTTTTAAGAATTCTGTTGCTCATCATGCAAAAATGAAGAGTGAATATTGGACAGAATTGAATGCTCTATCCAATGGTATCATATTTAATTGCCAAAGGTATCAGGTTATGCAGCAAAAGCCGTGTAATTAATAAAGTGACACATCATTGACAAACACCATTTTCTCCCGTGATTTGCACCACCTTGATTTGGATCAATCAGCTTTTCTTAATTTTTATATGAGAGGCGGTACATTTCTCTTGCCAACAGGCGTTGTTCCAACTCGCTCCGTTTAACGGTCGCCTAAAATTAAAATCAATTCCAAAATCCGTCTAAAACCGCAATTTTTTCAACAAAAGTACCAACATGGGTGCACGTGGCGCGTGCTATCCTCTGCATTGCACACCATTCAATAGCCCGTTCAATTCTGTATACGATGCTGTTTTCCCCGTGCCGGTCGGATCCCTGGTCACCAAGATATTGCACGGGGACTGGACCCGTGTCGGCCAAAATTAGCCGTTTTCGCCCGATTTCGCACGCCGATTTACACATGTAAAGTCTATGACGCGAATTTGCACTTTTTGGGCACGCGCCACGCGCTCACTAACGACCCGATCGAGCTGAGACCCCTCAAAGGCACGTCGCGCATCCTTGATCTATAAGTTGTGCAAATTTCACCGGGCTAGGTGCAACGGTCTGGCCTGTAGTCCACGCAAAGCAGCACCAAGTCGGGACCTCGGTAACGGACAGACGCACCCTCCTCAAATAGTAATATAGATAGGAGGTTCATAGTCATACATCATTCATAATTATAGTGCAGGTTGAACATAAACATAATTGCATGTAGCAGGTAGCTCTGAGTCAAATATAGGTATACCTACCGTACCTACCTACCTATACTGTGCCAACTTTTAACTCTAAATTTGAAAATGTGTTTACGAATGGCAATAGCCAATAGGTGACGTTGTCAGCAAGTCCATCATTAGATAACACAGGTAATAGGTATGAATATGATGTACAATCATTGACCTGTGGGAAGCACTAGACACCAAAGCAGTAAAGGAGGAAACCCAAAAATAGATTTGCCTCACTTGAAAGTTAACAGAAAAGAGGCTGAAGAAAATTGCAAATATCAAGGTGTGCCAAGTAGCACAAGAGTCTTACCTAGAACTTCCTATCATAAAATTATCCCCTTCCACCCCTTCCCCCCAAAAAACATCCGTGCCGAAATATCGAATACAATGCTACAAAGTATGCCGATAGCCTATCCAAATTCCAAATGATCCAAATTAACTGTTACCAAAAGATGATGAAATGCGGCGAAAGCGTCATAAATGTAACCTAAGGAAAGATGGCCCCCGGATGACAATCAGAGGAGACAAATAATGACGTCTAAAATTAAAAATACAGTCAGTTTGCTTAACAACTGAATAATTTTCAAAAAACTATAACATTTTTCAATGCATATTGAATAAAAATTAAACAACTAATTGTAAATGCACTTCAATAGGACAAATTATCTGATAATGACGTCATATTATTGATTTACATTTACATCATCGACTCAAAGCCGGATACCATGTTCCATTCTACCGAGAATGGTAGCATGAAATGTGTTTTCCATTCTACCAAGGATTACAACTTATTTTTGCTTGTGAATTTTAGTGAATTTGTGTTGAATCACAGCAAGTATTTTTATTTTTGTGATCGCTTATTTTGTTTCGATATTCAGAGATGTGTGGCCCAGTGAAGAGCAGTTTCTTCTTACATGAACTTGAACTACTTTGCTTCTGCAAGAAGTGTTCTACTTTACATGTCAGCCATTGTAATGTAAGATGAAGATATGCATTATTTAGCTTCTTGCATTATTGCTGCATTAATTCATCATCAAGTGGCTTAGTGTCAAAGGGATGCGGCAAAAAGTCAATATTTGAGAACGCAAGTTTGAGGGATAAGGCAATGTTTTGCATTATTCCTGCTTACTCAGCTTCAGTTGTAGGCTGTAGCACATTTTGAAGCAGAATAGGCTTGTCTCAATATGCTGTGTTTGTGTTGTATATCAGATTAGGCCTCTTGCCCAAATGCCCATTCCCTACTCCATATGATATTGCTTCAACATTTTAAGTTGGCAATATTTTGCTCTCAAAGCCAGATGGCGGATATCTGTTATTTAGTTATCATGTGGTGCATAATAACATGTACATAATATAGATCAATTCCCCCATCCTCTCTTTCCATATCCAGCTTTCGGACAGTTTTCGGACAAATCCATGCCTTGGACATTTTTTGGACAAAGGTGAGCTAGGATTTTGGACATTGGACGGACATCGGACAAGAAATTTCTGAAATTGACACCTCTAGTGCCTACCAATCTTCGCCAATATTTATCTTCGAGGATTTTATCCTCTAAGGCAGTTTGATATTAAACTTTTGGGCTCCCTTAGAGCATAAAAAAGATTATTTACTGCACAGCAATGTCTTAAAAATCGACAAAACCTTGACATCCCGTGACGTCATCTGTCTCCTGAGCCCTCCTTACGTGACCCAGGGTATATTGAGTGAAGGGTAGGACGAACTTTGGTAGGAATTTCTAGTATAACTACTAGAAAACCTACTATATGTGGTCGGGACTAGCAAAAAATTAGTTCAAACTAGAATATGGTAGCGCTTATGGTTGGCAGTCATGACGCGCACGTGACATTCATTTCTTAAATTTCTTAAATAACAGGTTTTAGGGGCCGATTAGTGGGCAAATACATTCAATTAGCTGTTAATAATAGATTATACAAACATTCAAAAATCTACATCACGCAATTCTAGCCAAAATCACGCGGCGCTCCCAAGATTCGAACTCACGACCCTCGGATCCGTAGCCCGATTCGCTACCGACTGCGCTACCGAGGACCGCGCGCCGACGATCGGAGAGTCGGATCGCGGGTGCTGGCGTGCAGAGAAATCTTTACCCTGTACGCCGTAGAAGATCGGCTGGGTTTCGTGAAAAATGGTAGAGGAATTGTCGAAGAAAATTCATCGATCAATCCGCATCGAATGATATATATATATATATGTTGACCTCGAAAGGTCAAGGTCAAAGGTTGACCTCAGGTCACGTGACCTCGAGGTCATCATGTATATCATTCGATGCGTCTTGACGAGCTGAACACAATGAGACCATCCACGCGTCTGTATCTTGTTCCTGTACGGAGTTATTGGCCAAAAACCTTTGGTGACCTTTGATGACGTCACATGACCTCACAGCTGCCCAACAGCAAAACAGACCTCAAGGTAGTGAAGGTTGATCGTATATGAAGTCATGTATGGTATATGGGGCCATTCCGACCCGTTTTAGTGGT